TGCTCAGGCTGTTTTCGAACTCCTGAGCTCAAACAATCCGCCTGCCTCGGCCTCCCAGAGAGCTAGGATTACAGGCGTGAGCCACCGCGCCCAGCCTGGCATTATCTTTTTAAGCTAAATATATGCCTTCCCTATGACCTAGCAATTCCATTCCTAGTTATATACCCAAGAGAAATGAGTATGTGTGTGTATGTATGTGTGTGTTAAAGTTTTATATATATATACACATACACAGTTGGCCCTCCCTATCCGAGGTTCTGTATTCGCAGATTCAACCTACTATGGATTCCAAATATTTTTAAAAATACAACAATAAAAATAATACAAATAAAAACAATACAGTATAACAACTATTTACATAGCATTTACAGTGTATTAGGTATTATAAGTAATCTGGAGATTATTTAAAGTATATTGGAAGATATGCATAGGTTGTATGCAGATACTATGCCATTTTACATAAGGGACTTGAGCATCTGCAGATTTTAGTAACTGTGGGGGTCCTGGAACCATTCCCCTGTGAATACTGAGGATACATACACACACCCAAAAGACATGTTACAAGAATGTCCACAGCAGCTTTATTCATAATAAAAAAAATAATAGCAACCCAAGTGTCCTTCACCAATGGGTGAATGGATAAAGTAACTGTGATAAAAGGGGAGAACTAACAGCAATAAAAAGAAATGAACGACTGAAAAATGCATCAACATGGATGAATCTAAAAAACACTATGTTGAGTGAAAGGCTTACACAGAATAGTGCATACTATGATTTCTTTTTTATGAGGTTCAGAAACAAGCAAAAGTGATTTATGGTGATAGAAGTCAGATTAGTGGTTACCTCTGAGAGGAGGTTGATTGGAAAAGGATATGAAACACATTTTATGAAGCCAACATCATCCAGATACCAAAACCAGGAAAGGATGCAACAAAAAAAGAAAACTACAGACCAATATCCCTTATGAATATAGATGCAAAAATTCTCAACAAAATTCTAGCAACCGAATTCAGGTGCTTATCGAGAAAATAATCCATCATGACCAAGTGGGCTTCATCCCAGAGATGCAGGGATGGTTCAACATATGCAAATCTATAAATGTAATTCAACACATAAATAGACGTAAAAATGAAGACCATATGATCCTCTCAATAGAGGCAGAAAAAGTATTTGACAAAATTCAGCACCCTTTTATGACAAGAACACTCAACAACATAGGCATAGATGGGACTTACCTAAAAATGATAAAAGCCATATATGACAAACTCACAACCAACATCATACTAAACGGGGAAAAATTGAAAGCATTCCTACTTAGAACTGGAACCAGACAAGGTTGCCCTCTATCACCACTTCTATTCAATATAGTGCTGGAAGTCCTAGCCAGAGTAATCAGACAAGAGAAGGAAATCAAGGGCATCCAAATGGGGGCAGAAGAGGTCAAACTATCACTGTTTGTTGAAGAGATAATTTAAATTATCTAACTTTAAAAATTGGAAATATATAAACTCACTCTGTTTTATTTAATTTTAATTGTTTTTTTTCAGAGACAGATGGAGTCTTATTTTGTCGCCAAGGCTGGAGTGCAGTGGTGTGATCATAGCTCACTCGAGACTTGAACTCCTGGGCACAAGCAATCCTCCTGTCTCAGCCTCCCAAGTAGCTACGACTGCAGGCATGCGCCACCACATTGTTGTGGCCAAATACTCTATTTTAAGAACCATTAACTAGTAAGGTATTTTTATGGTATTATGTCATTCTCGAGTAGAGTGAGCATTAAGTCCCCCCTGGGATTATGTGGAAATGTGTAGGGGCATTTGGGCTGTTACAGTAAGTGTGGTATGCTATGGGCATTTAATCCTTAGCCCAGCATGCTAAAGATTCTGCAATGAACTGAACAGATGCACATAACTAAGAATTTTCCCAACAAAAAGGCAATAAATCAATGTGATAAAATGTACCTAAATATTATAAATTAATAGAAAAAACAACTGGTTATTTTGTTTTCTTAGAAGAACAATTATACTAACTAACACAAAAGTATAAGGTTTTAAAAAATTCTTTTTAACTTTGATAATTAAAAGTAGTACCTTGGGGCAGCAGCACAATTCACAATTGCAAAGATGTGGAAATAACCCAAGTGCCCATCAATACATGAGTGGATTAATAAAATGTGGTATATGTATACCATGGAGTTCTACTCAGCCACAAAAACCAGTGGTGATATAGCACCTCTTGTATTCTACTGGATAGAGCTGGAACCCATTCTACTAAGTGAAATATTCCACGAATGGAAAAACAAGCATCACATGTACTCACCATCAAATTGATTTTAACTGATCAACACCTAAGTGCACATATAGCAATAACATTCATCGGGTATCGGGCAGGTGGGAGGGGGAGGAGGGATGGGTATATACACACATAATGGGTGCGGTGCGCACCGTCTGGGGGATAGACACGCTTGAAGCTCTGACTCGGGTGGGGCAAGGGCAATATACGTAACCTAAACATTTGTACCCCTATAATATGCTAAAAGAAAAAAGAAAAAAAAATTTCGGGGATATCCTTGGGAATATAACTTTATTATGGTACACCACACCTACTTGAAGGGCACAGGCAGAGTTGTTTATATTTGTATGTGATAAATACATTGTGGTTATTCAACAGGTTGGCTTTGGTTTGGAATAAGATGCCAGGCCTGGATGCCCTATTTCTGGCACTAACCAGGCCTTATCAAGAATTAGAATGCAATGAGCCAGTAAATGCATTTTGGATGGGATGGCTGATGATACGTTGGGATGTATCTGGTATTAGAGAAACTAATATTGTGGCTATTAAATAGGACCAAAGAACTCTCCTTTTCTTTTTACAAATTAAAAACGATGAAGACGTGGTCTTAAATGTTAGATATTTGCAGTCCTTGTCTAAATCCTATCATGTCACCCAGTTTAGGCCTATAAGATTTCCAATCAATCAGCGTTTCTACTGGCCTACAAGCTTCATAAGTAATGTGAAGGGGACACTTATTTTTATTGAGATAAAATTCACATAACATAAAATTCCATTTTAAAGTGTACATTTTGTAGTGTATAATTCAGTGGCATTTAGTACCTTCACAGTGTTGTGCAGCCATTGCCACTATCTAATTCCAGAACATTTTCATCTCCCCAAAAGGAAATCCCGTACCCATTATAGTGTCATTCCCCATACCTCCCTATCCCCAGACCCTGGCAATCACTAATCTACTTTCTGTCTCTGTGGATTTGCCTTTCTAGATATTTCATATAAATGTGATCAAAACTACGTGGTCTTTGGTGTCTGGTGTCTTTCAATTAGCATAATGTTTTAAAGGTTCATCCAGTTGTAGTATACATCAGTACTACATTCCTTTTCAGGGCTGAATAATATTCCACTGTGTGGACATACCACACTTTTTTAATCCATTTATCCGTTGATGGACATTTGGGTTGTTTCCACCTTTTGGCTATAGTAAATAGTGCTGATATAAACAGTCATGTATAAGTATTTGTTTTGATAACTGTTTTCAATTCTTTTGAATTGAATATACCTAGGAGTGGAATTTCTGGGTCACATGGTAATTCCATATTTAACTTTATAAGGAACTTCACAGCTGTTTTCCATACTGGCTATACCATTTTACATTCC